GAAACAAATACTAGACATATCGCAAAGCAACGAGACAGACTTGAGGAGAGAGCTGAAGATGAATAAGGAGTGGCTAGACGCTGTGAACACGCAGCTTATTGAAAAGGATAAACAAGTCTCGTCTCACACACGTTTTTATTTGATTAATTAATTAATTAATTATCTTTATTTCGCTTTGCTATTAATTTCTTGAGACGTTAAACTTCGCGCGATGGCTTATTTAATTTATGATCAATATTGTTACCATTAGTCATTTCTGCCTATAAGATTATCCAAATTTGAAATCAGAAAAATTTGTTTAAATTAACGGACATATCACTGATGCAACTTATGGTAACATTAAGAGGTATTACAACAACACGGCAAAAAACAATACAAACATACAAATACAAACATACAAACACAAACATACAAATACAGACATACAAACCGAAATGCCATACTCAAAATACCTTCCATTATACCATTTCACTGCAGTTAAAATTAGCAGAGCTTGATCGAGGTTCAGTAAGTAGATTGATGGAAAAGGATAAATTGAGTTTCGATTCAACTACTGCTACTACTGCTGCTGCTGCAGCCGCTGATAGCACTGGTGGCAATGACGTAAGATTCATAAGACAGGCTCTCGAACTTGATATTATGGTTCGTTTGATGGTTCTTCCACCTCTTGAAATCGCCAAAAGTTTTGGTCTACCTAAGTTTACATCATATTATATTATCAATTGACAACAGTTTTACTATAATCGTCGTCTTTGTTTCAGTCATCATAATCATAATAATTGTTATCATCATCATCCTCATCATCATCATCGTCGTCGTCGTCATCATCATCATCACCACCACCATCATCATCACCACCACCATCATCATCATCACCACCACCATCATCATCGTCATCATCACCACCACCAACATCATCATCATCATGACTACCAGGCATCGAAAAACGCCCTTGACACGACGTTGAAAGAAAACATAAGGTTGAAGATGGCCTTGGAGCAGGCAGCACGTGACCTCGTCATCGAACGTGACGTCACGAGTTCCGCTACTTACGACAAAATGGCGCTGCAACAACAATTATATGTCTGTTTTGTTGGCAAATGTTTTTTTTTTTATTAAAATTTTTGCCAAGTTTTTGCAAAAAAAAATTTGATAAACTAATCCTGATAGGTTAAAATTTATTCATTCCTGTAAATGTTTTAAGACAGTACCCTGCATAAAAACCGTTTTCTCCATTATAATCGCACACACACGTACACACACACGCACACACTCACACACACACGCACGCACACGTACGCACACACTCACACACACACGCACGCACACGTACACACACACACGCACAGACTTCATTAGAAGAGAAAGCAAATGAAGCGAAAGAGAGGGAGAAACTGCAGATGGAACTTGCCCTGTTGAAACTTGAAAATCAAAAACTGACATCCACACTTCTACAGCAAACATCTTCATCATCATCTTCCACCACATCACCATCACAGCGAGAAAAAGAACTAAGAGAGGCCTACGATGGTGTTGGTGTCATTGACGACTTTTTTTTACGTTTTTTCATGCAAATTGATGTTTTTAATGTATTTTTACGTACGTTTAATGTATTTTACATTGTTATTAATGTTAACTGATACATCAATGTTGATTTCTTGAACAGCTTGCAGTAGAATTAGCAAAATCGAAGCAGGCGTTAGATAATAAAGAGAAAGAAAATTTATTCTTACAAGACACATTACAGTTGGATATTTACTTTTTAATCCAATTATACATTTTAGGATTTGTCACATTTGAACGTTTTAATTTGTCATATTTTAATGTTTCAATTAACGAAATTAATTATACACAATAATTATAGTTAATGAGGGCAAACTGTTAAAAATATGTTAATTAATATATCATACCATTGGCAGGTTCATTTTGAAATCAAATAAGGATGGTAAGTACTGCTGGTTACAACTATTTACTATTGCAACTATTACAATTATTTACATTAATGCTCTTAGATATCGAACTGTTTTTGTTCTTTTTTACGAAGCTCTGACAAATGCAAAACTGCTTCTTTTAATTTAACTTTCTTGCTACAAGTCTGAAACATCTCGATAGGCCACATGTAATACCCAAGCATTACATTGTACGTACATGGCACATGATCGCTTTTGGATTTGAGTTTTTGAGCTTCGAACCGAACAGATAGTATTTGAACCAGGTCATCAGGCAATAACAGTGCAAGACATGGCGCTTCTATCGACTGAGCTAACATACCGACTGTTGGTTTGGTTCATTTAAGTTTTTCGAGTATTAATATAACGTTTCTTTTTATATTTTTCCGCCACGCTTAGCCTGACAAGCCGCAACCATGCCAGAGTTAAACTGTGATAACATTATATAAAATTACAAATTGAACGTTTTCGTCGACTCCAACATTAACAAGAACGACAACATCAACAATTAAAAAATCCTGCAACAACAACATCATCATCGTCAATGATAACCACAGCAACGACAACGCTGACACAACATACAGAAACAGTTTAGTTACAACAACAGAAACAGCCAGCAACAACCTTTATCAACCATCCCCAAAACAACAACAAATGTTGAAACTTTTATATAACAAATACTCTCATTCAAATGCCAAATAACATTACGTCCGTTGCAACAACAACTCACAAACAATACATGTACGTGCAGCACATGCTTAATATAACGCTACTTACAGCTTACTAACAAAATCTTGCGACACACACACACACACACACACACACACACACACACACACACACACACACACACACACAAACACATCATAGACATGTGTACTTAAGAAATATTTTTTATTGATGATATTGCTAAATGTTATAAATTCATGATATACTAACATTTCTGTTTATTTGTGCATTTATGTACGTATGTAACTCAACTGTGTGCGTGTGTATGTGTATTTATACCTACAAATAAGTTCATTAGGTAATTATTTATATTATGAATAAAATATGTAGTTATCTTACTAAATTTTAATATTGACAAACACAATTACACACACACATACGTACATTTTTATATAATGTAGACCGATTAATTTTTGTATGCTGTTCGCCATGTTTGTGTGTACAAACATACACCACACACACAAACACGCACACACGTGATGATTCTTTTAATTTACTAAACCCATTCAATCGTTTTGTGTAAATTTTTCTAATTGTGGTTTTTAGAAGCATTAATTTATTTTTTATTTCCATCCTTTTATTTGTAAATATTTATAAATATTCCTAATAATAAATATAATAATTGACTGAATAAATTGATAATGAATTAATTGACACTATAATTGATTGATTAATTAATTAGGTAATTAAAATAACAAAGTAGTGCAAGACAGCACATTTGAATAAGTACTCAGCTCAAAAATTTAATGAGCAAAATAGATGACGAAACTCGTTTAAATCATCCACACATACAGCTCCATGAACATCTTGATTAGTTATATTAAATTGACCAAAGTTTTTATTAAACAACTAAGCAAATAAATAAATAAAATAAATGAATAAATAAAAAATAATATTTCTGAATTCAATTTTACAAATTTTGAAATTGTCATCAGCCAGCGAGTATCAATTAAAAGTTAATTTTCATCATGATTTTGGCACGCAAGGCGAAGACTGCGAGAGGGAAATATTTATGGAAGACCTGCAAAAAATAAATTGTCGTAACTCTACTATAAGATGGGCAACTTGAAAGACATAAATTCATCATTGAAAATGGACGAAAATTTGACCAGTCAAACACAGAGACAACAAAACAGACGACAAACCAAATCAGCCAGCCAGCCAGCCAACCAACCAACCAACCAGCCGACCAACCAACCAGCCGACCAACCAACCAGCCGACCAACCAACCAGCCAACCTATTATGTTTAAGATGACTCTTGACTAGATGACCGGTTGCCAATGCAGACATCAGTGACAGCTCACCGGCCATAACGGTCGAACACACAATGTTTGCGAGTGTGCGTGCATTCAAACCCGGTTCTTCCGCATTAGAACCTCTGACTCCAAGCATCTGTATGCAAGTGTTCATAACAATGACAGTCGGATATCACAATTTAATCATTTTAAAATTTATTACTAAATAATTAAAAAGAAACAAGTTCCAAACAAGTGAATAAAACAATATTCATAACAGTGCTTATTCGTTATGAGAAGATGATAGGGAGAACAAGGATCTAACCTCAAGACAGGCACACTGCGGTGGCAGAACGGTACCTCCCCCGATGGTGCCCACTTCAACAGAGGGCATGGTGCAACTGATGTACAAATCATCAGTCTTGGTCTCGGGGTTGTGTAAGGCCTCCATCAGGGTCACACAGTTGGAACTGCAGACATTTTGCGCTGGATCCTGCCCAGTTGCTAGATAGATGGCAGTAACTACGTTGGCGGCATGCGCATTGAACCCTCCAATGCTACCAGCCGCCACAGAACCGACCAGATTTTTATTCAAGTTCAAATCAACCAGCGAAGCAACCGAGGTTTTAAGCACATCTCTGATCACGTGACTGGGGACTACAGCTTCACAGATGACTGATTTTCCTCGGCCTTCAATCCTTGTTTAGCGTACGTAAAATGAGAGCAGTTATGAATTTGAAACTTAATTCAATGATAATTATGAAAAAATTATCAAAAACTTATAAAAAATATATAATAGATAGATAGATAGATAGATAGATAGATAGATAGATAGATAGATAGATAGATAGATAGATAGATAGATAGATAGATAGATAGATAGATAGATAGATAGATAGAACCCACCAGTTAACAGCACTCGGTTTTTTATCAGTGCAGAAGTTGCCACTGAGACTCAATATCTCCATATCATTGAAGTACTCTTCTTGCAACGACAACAAAGCTCTCTCTGACCCCTGCGTTGTTACATGTGTGAAATTTTTCAAAATCTTCAACAGTAAAAAATTGGCGTTGAAAAACCAAAAAGACACACACACCACACACACACACACATGTATATATATATATATATATATATATATATATATATATATATATATATATATATATATAGAGAGAGAGAGAGAGAGAGAGAGAGAGAGAGAGATAGAGAGAGAGAGAAAGAAAAAATAAACAAATAAATAGCAATAAATACAAATTACATAAAGGAAGAGAAACCTTGGATAGCATGTTCATACCCATGGCATCTCCCGTCCTGGCTACAAACCTGATGTACAGATTTCGAGATATCTGTGATATCTGAAGTTTATGGAGACGAGCAAACCTGAAATGATAATAAGAAATAATTATGAAAATAATTTATTCATTATAATTTAGATAATCGTAATTAATTCCTTGAACAATTATAAGCATAATAGAATTAATAATAACAGAAAAAACATCGAAAAAAACCTGCTTGTAGAGTTGAAGACCTCAGCCACAATTTTGAAGTTTTCCTCCCTCTCTAGCCAGCCCTTGACCTGTGACGCTCGCCTACCGGATTGGAATCTCACCAGAGGAGCCCTCGTCATACCGTCGTTAATCACCTGACTGTGCACACCCTCACCAGACTTGGTGTTTGTGGGTGAAGATGATGAAAAATGAAGTGTCGGTGATCATGGCCACCATCTATCTAACGGCCAACTTGCCAATCAAAAATCTTTGACCGACTGACCAATCATACAACTGACACGCCAATCAATCATTCATTCAACTGACCTACCATTCAATTGACATATCGATCAATCGTTCAACTGACCTACCAATCAATCATTCAACTGACCAATGAATCAATCATTCAACTGACCTACCGCAATCAATCAATCATTCAACTGACATACCGACAGAGCCCGGCAGCCTCTATTAGTGCTAGCCACAAGACAGCCTTCTGTGGTTGCCATGGGAACGTTGTATCGTCTGCCGTTGATGAGGAGGGGTCCAGCTACTCCGACAGGAATGGGCATGTACCCTATGACATTCTCACAACATGCCCCATCTACCTAGGTGGGTGGAGTCAAATAAAATAAAACACCAAATATAAATGTGAGTGACGTGTTAATCGCTAGGAATTAGTGAAAAATTAGAGTTATTGTTACATATTACTAACTAACTACTGGTTAATCTTAAATTTTCATGATTTATTTACTCGACTATTTCTTTAAACGATGAATAAATAAAAGATTAATTATTTAGTATATTGATTTGAATCAATCAAACGTTTAAATAAACTAAACTGATTGATTTAGTTTTTATTATGCAACTCTGGAGTGAAAATAAGAACTTACATATTTGTAGTCATAACCCATGAATGGTAAATTGTCTAGTGAATCTGGATCCGGTAACGCTTTGCTTAAAATCTTTCGCCTTAGAGGATTTTTTTATTGAAATATATATCTAAATTAAATATAGAAGCGAAAATATTTATCAAATTAAAAAAAAATACTTTTAAATCAAAATGTGGTTAACCGACAATATTTGGAAAAAATGGTATTACCTAATATCAACACCTCTTTCAAAGTTATTTACGGCATGCTCCAGACGATAAGTAGGGATGTGCTTGGACCCCACTAACATCATCACCTCTTCATCTGTTAGCTGCTCTGGCCCATTCTAGGTTTCAATTTTATAGCATTATCAATTTATTAAAACCTCAAAACTTCTCAACCAACTACAAAACCACAACCACTAACTGATCAATCAATGAACAAATCAATCAGCAACTGACCATTCAGAAAATAAATCAACCATTCGAATGACCAACCCCAGTACAAATCAATCAACTAACCACAGCCTTCAACAGTTCAGCACATTCTTCTAAACTCCTTGACGATCCACATTTCAAATTAGCGGAAGTCGAAATTTTTGATGATGATGGCAAACTCTCATCACAAACATTCTGATCGTCCGTCTGACACTCGGCATCTACTAACTCACTTTTCACGTCATCACCACCATCGTCGCCATCCTCATCATCTTCATCACTGCTATCAAGAAAAAATTTAGATAACGAATCATGAGTTACTATTGGTGTTGACTGTGGCAATGATGGTGATGATTTCCCGCCACAAAAATCACCATCATCATCATTATTTTCTTTCTTCTCGTCTTCATTCTTGTTTCCATCTGTTTCATCATTATCACCCCCACCACCACCAACATCAGCATCTTCATCGTCAGAAGCATTGGAGCTATCTTCCTTCAACTTGCACAAACCGTATCCTAAATTGAAAGTATAGTGAAAATATTTAATGTTGGATAGACAACGAAAATTAATCACTGATACTGAACAGACATTTGACGATATCGTCACTCGCGCGCACACACACACACACACACACAAATATGGTCAAAACCAAACTGATAACACAAAAAATGAAACAATGGAGAACGAAAAATAAAATGAAAAAATCTAATTAGGAAAGCCAAAAAAATTTCCAAAAAACAAAAAAGGAAGAATAAGACACAACTGACCAAAAGTTGATTTCAGCCTATCATCGAAAAATCTTTCAAGGAACCCTTGCGCACAATCATTATTTTCATCCTCTAACATTTCACTAATTTCATCTTTACCGTCACTTTGTTTCCTCACAAAAAAATTGCCACCATTTTTTAAATTGCCACCATTTTTGTAACCGCCAATAAAACCACAATCGCTTTTTCTTCTTCTCATTTCTCTGAGACCATCCTCACCTCCTTTTCCATAATCTTCCATGAAACTTACAGACTTCACAAACTTCAAAATTCCGCGACCGTTACTAGCCATTCCATTTTTGGACTCATTATCATTTTTAGTCCCGCCAACCTCATCCGAAGCGGACGACAGCGATTGGTTGTAATCAGTGTCAATGAAGATGTACTTGATGAGTAGGAGGAGGGTGAGAGATAAGGTCATCACGTAATCAATGGTCAATGTCGTTGACCTGTTTAATATTCATTTGAGATTAATTGGTCTGTTAAAAATTAGCTTATTAATATTCATGTAATTATTGTTTTTATAATCATTATTAATTGATAAATTTAAAAAACGAGTTAAAAATAATAATGTACCTATATATGAGAAATTGCCAAAATTTTTGATTTGGATAGTAGTGATGTGGATCAGCTGAGGCAGATAACAAGTCTGATGTCGAAGCCTGATTGGCCAGAGGTTCAGGAACTAGGTCACCCATAAATGAGGTAGCTGTTGTTGATTTGTCGAAAAATCGAGAATGGGCGTGTACAAAGACTAGACCAGTTGACTGGGGAAAGAAATAACAAAATTCTAAATTAAAAATTTTTTTATTTTAATATTTTTATAAATAATTATTACTAATTATATTTATAATTTATTTATAATAATGTGCAGTATTATTATTGCAGTCATAATAAAAATTCTCTACTGCCATCTATCTACTGGCCGACTTACCATAATAATTTTAATTTTCTGAACGACAGGATTGGGCTTCTGATCCTCATCTTCGGTCTGCCATACTTTTGCTAGTTGTTGGATCTGTACCATTCTCCTGTTATCCCTTGTTAGCTGTGTATTCAAACTAATGATAAAACATCTAACTAATCTGGGAATAAACAAAATTTACACAAACGTGATGAGGCATTCAACTAATCTAGAAGAGAGAGATTTGACACGAGCAAAAATAATCTCAACAAACACAATTCTCTACCCTAACTTAAAACAAACTTATGATAGGCAATAATCAAAATAAACATAATCAATCAATCAATCCTCGTTTTGCGTCCAGAGACCCGGTTCTCCGAGGTAGGACGTAAAATAATAATAATAAACATAATAATCATAATAACAACCAACTGCACCTACCTCCAAGACAATAGACAGACAGGATGGGTAGAAGAGCATAAAGGCTAAATAGTTAGTAATGACGGATAAACAACCGAAGCTACACATTGCTTGCAGTGTACAGATGCCTTGAGGATGATGATGAAGATGATGAAGATCATGACAATGATGATGGAGAAGATGATGATGAAGATGATGACGAAGATGATGACGGCGATGAAGAAGATGATGAAGATGAGAATGATGATGAATGGCAATAATGATGATTATAACGATGAATAGGAAGATTGTAGTAATTATCATTGTGGTTATAATTACTATTGCAGCTATGATGAACAATGACACAACAGCAGTACCAATGGACAATTATCAACAATGACTAAAAACTAATTAAAAGCATAAAACATCAAAGAAGTAACTCAAATACACAAACGATCAAACAAACAAATGATCAAACCAACACACAGACAGACAGACAGACAGGCAGACAAGAAACCCAACACATTGATACAGACCTGACAAAGTACCAACTCCAATCAGTAGAGTTTCAACAAGAGCATCCAACGTTAGCAGAGGACCCACGAGAGCCATACCATGCCCGATGTTCTTCACTACATCCACCTGAAATTGACGGAATAACTTTGCTAAAATTAATTTTTAACAAAAATACAAAACCGATCATAAACAAATTAAACAAAAATTAATAAAAAAATGAAATAAAAGTACCTGAGTTTCAGAGCTGAGAGCAAACTTAGCCAATGTGCATGCTTTTGAAAGATCAAGCAACAGCAAGAAAAATGGCAGCGCTTCACTGAATGTTAAAAAACAAGAAACTCAGCATCAAACTTTGATTACACTTCTCAAAATTAAATGCAACTCTCTTTAAATCCTTTCAAACAGTATTATAAATCTATGAAAGTTAGTATTTTTTTAGATTGAGTAATTTTATTATTAGAGTAAAAATACTGGATAATTTTAACAAAAATTAGTTTATCCACGACCTCAACTGGTTGAGGTCAGCCCCAAGGAAATTTCCAACAGCAATACTAATACCAAAGCTAAACAACATCGTTAGGAAGACTGTTATTGCTGCCAATAAAAATATCATGAAAATATTAATAAATTAATTACATAATTAACTACATAATTGATTGATTGTTTAATTAATTGATTGATTGTTTAATTAATCTTCACAACTACTTTTTCAATATGAGTGGTTGGCATGCCTTAAAATGTACATGTGGTTCTGAAAGCACAAGAGATAAACAAATAAAAAAAACTGTAAATTTATCACATAAGTAAATTTATCTTAGAAAATTACAAAAACACTTCCAGAATATTTTACAAAGTCTTGCACCTACATGAAATTAACATAATGGTGGAGTAAATTTATAACGAAGCCATCTAAAGAGATTGCAAAGTAATGTTGAAAAATTTTAAATTTAGCATCAAAAGAGAATTAATTAAAATAAAATAAATCTATATTGAAAGAAATTGAAAAAAAAACTGCAAGACTCACATACCCAGGAAATACTTGGATCCAAGTCTTCTGAGTTTGGAAAACTGGATGTAGGTGTAGATGAGGGAGACACATTTTGTGATGGACATGACGACCGTGTCAGAACTCATCACGTCAATCTGTCGATAAATTAGGTGCAATGGCATCAAAACAAGTGCTATTGCTTAGAAACAAGAATCAGAATGTTTGAAAACAACAGCAAAAAACCATTATGAGATCAGTAATGATGTCACCGATAACACCATTTCTCAATACACTTCTCAGATGTGAAAACTAAGAAAAGAGTAAAAAAAGATAAATGTCTAGAACACCAAAAACCAAAGCAAAGTTATAGAAATACCTAGGTTTAAAATAAAATAAAAATCCAAAAAAAACTAACTTTATTCTGGTAACTGCCTTTCTGCCTGAAACTTAGCTCTGGTTCAACATAGGTCATAGAGGCAACGCAAACTACTAAGGTCAAAGACACAAATATGACCTCCCAAGGTCTAGAGGCACAAAATTGACCATGTGTTTGAAATAATTTAAAGATCATTGCTTTGCCATCTTGTTGCACGTTCTATATAGGAATGAATTTTTGGTCTGTAAAAGTTTATCTAAAAACCAAACCAAAAACCAAAATCTTGAAAAAAAGATATTATAATAATTATTCATTATTCTACCTAATTGAAAATCAACCAAACTTATAATAATGAAATATTATTATAATTTTATAGTCAAAACTCAAAAAGATGACCTAGAAAAAATTTAAAAACTAATAAATAAAATTATAGAAATCCACTAACACAAAGGTTATCTTTGAACTTGTCGATCTCCTTAATTGTCATAATTTTCAAAACTGCTGAGTTTAATTCTTTTTCTTTTTTATTTTGTTGAAAGACATTTTTAATCAGTTCCATTTTTGCTATGTTTATTTATTTATTATTTATTTATTTTGCTTTGTTGTTTTACAATTATTCAGTTTAGTTTGTTTAGTAGTAGATCCTCTAGCTTTTTCTAAAGGGAAATAAAAGGAATTTGCATCTTTTATTAATAAATTATTATATTATTATATAAAGTTTTAGTAAGTAATCAAATCAAGTTGTAATCCGTATGCATCAGTCATATCATACAATTAACTTTTAAAAAGCTAAACTAAATTAAACTGAACTAGACTAGAGAAACCAAAGAATGATTTAACTTTTCATCACAAGTTTATCCTGGCCAATCAGATTAAAGATACAGATAACATGATTTTTTTACTAAAGTTACTTTACTAACTTTTAAAAGAATGAAATGAGATGTGATATTCGTCATTAGTATGAAACCATCGGATGACTTATTCATCTTCCATTTAAATTTATTTATTATATACAATTCGAAATTTTAAAACTTAATGTAAAAATACCCAAAATACCCAATCCGAATTTTCAGACAATACAACAAAAATGATGTTTAAAAATGACCTACACGATAAAATTATTTTTGTAATGGCAATTTATTTTTAAACGTCAATTTGTGTGCGTTTTTCGATATACTTCAGAATGACATGGAATCGTTCTAAGTGTCTTAATTTTGCCAAAGTAAAATAAAAAAGGTATTATTACATATATGTATATATATATACATATTACGGATAAATAAAGTTATATCAATGATATATATATATATATATGTGTGTGTGTGTGTACAGTATTGTATGAATTCTAGCGAATTGTAGGCATAAATCAATTTAAAGTTTGTCTTTTCAATTTTTTTGAAATTGTTTAAGACAAACTTTAAATTGATTAATGCCAACAATTCGGTATAATCCATACAATACTGTATGAAATTTGGTCTCTTCCAACATTATATTTGAATCGTCGTTAGACATTATTCTTTGCTAAGCGATATAAAGGTAAAGTAAACGTAAACTATCTCAATGCCGTTGATATTGATGTCCGGTTTTCCGTGCTCCGGCAAGACGAGATGTGCCATCGGACTGAAAAAATATTTCGAGGAGAATAAGAACGTCCCCACGAAAGTTATTTCGGATCATAATTTTGAAGATTTGAACAGAAATGACTTGTACTCAAGTAACTGATTATTTTGATTTATAATTTTATTTTATTTTACTTACTACCTCTCTGCTTTTGGTTTTAATTTTTTGATTTAGTTATTTTTTTAAATTAATTTAATAATAATCTGATTATCACCTAGTTTAGAATGCACACATTCACCATATAATATAATATAATAATTATAAAAATTATTTATTTGATTAAAAATGAAATTTTGAATTTTAAAATGGTTATTTATTATTATCTCCTTGCACTACAAGATTCTTCAAAAGAGAAAGAGATTAGAAGTTTACTCAAATCAGAAGTGCAAAGATCCATTGATAAAAGTTCTGTGATTATTCTAGATTCTCCTAATTATATAAAAGGTTATCGTTGTAGGATTATTCTTTTTTAAATTTAGCTTAGGTTAGCCTTAGCTTAGGATGTTGTGGTTTTGGCATTTTTTTAATTTTCATTAATTAAGTTTAATAATAATTTTTAACAATTTTTTAAAATCAAATAATAATGTGTTATTTTTATATTTTTAATTTATATTTTGAAATAATTTTTTTCCAAGGTTTTAGGTATGAGCTCTATTGTGTTAGTAAGTCAGCCCAGACAACACAATGCACAGTAAATATATGTGTGTGTTTGTGTGTGTAAATGTATGTGTGGTATGTGGTGTTGTGTTTGTTTGTTTGTGTGTCTGTGTGTGCTGTGTGTGTGATGATAAAAAACTATTTATTGTTTTTTCACAATTTTTTAAGAAATGATATTTATAATTTTAATTAATTAATTATAGATTCTATGTAGTGTTAGCAATGAAAAGTCCATTGAGATAAATAGCACTAGACAGCCCGATGAACAATACACTAATGATGTGTTAGTTAAGTTGCATGGATGAATGACTGACTGAACAGATGAATGAATATATAAATAAGTGGATAGTTCTAACAATGAATAAATAATTGACTGACTGACTGACTGACTGACTGACTGACTGACTGACTGACTGACTGACTGACTGACTGACTGACTGACTGACTGACTGACTGACTGACTGACTGACTGACTGACTGACTGACTGACTGACTGACTGACTGACTGACTGACTGACTGACTGACTGACTGACTGACTGACTGACTGACTGACTGACTGACTGACTGACTGACTGACTGACTGACTGACTGACTGACTGACTGACTGACTGACTGACTGACTGACTGACTGACTGACTGACTGACTGACTGACTGACTGACTGACTGACTGACTGACTGACTGACTGACTGACTGACTGACTGACTGACTGACTGACTGACTGACTGACTGACTGACTGACTGACTGACTGACTGACTGACTGACTGACTGACTGACTGACTGACTGACTGACTGACTGACTGACTGACTGACTGACTGACTGACTGACTGACTGACTGACTGACTGACTGACTGACTGACTGACTGACTGACTGACTGACTGACTGACTGACTGACTGACTGACTGGTTGATTGGACAGATAGACAACTAAATGAATGGATGAATGGATTTCTTAAACCAGCCCAAATTCTACAGATTAAACGAACTCATCATGAGGTTTGAGACACCAGATCCTAAAAATCGATGGGATTCCCCGATGTTTGTGATCAATTTTAACGACGAAATTCCATTCGAGGATATCTACACATCCCTATTTTTGAAAAAGGCCCCAGCTCCTCATCTTTCCACATTGCCTGTTTGCTATTTTTTGTAGTTTCCCTCACTTTTTTTTCTCAAATTTATTTCACCAAGTATGCAGTTGATAAATTTTTATTTTAACGGTATAATCAGTTACCAATCTATTTATTATTTAATTATAGTAATAATAATTTTTTAAAATAACGATCAGACGCCCATTTTGGCTACGAATTTGTTACACGAAATAGACAAATGCACACAGAGGGTTGTTCAAGAAATTATGGAAGGTCAAAAATTCTGTATGCAGGGTGATAAAATAAAAATAAACTCATCTGATGAGAAAGTTATTATTGCTATTTCTTTTTTTTCACCATCATCATTTGTCACCATCGTCATTGTTGTCGTCAATTTTATAGCATTTTTTATGGTTAAATTAAATGCCCGAATGTCGAATAGTGGTTAGAGTGACTTCATACATAACTTTGCGTTTGGTTTTCTTAGCAGTTTAATACTATTTTTTAAATTTTGGCAAGCATTCAATACATTTTTAGCCACTATTATCACCATCGGCATCACGATACGTTGTCACCATCATAGTCATCATTACCATCATAGTCATCATCATTACCATCATTGTCAACATCATCATAGTCATCATCATCATTTACGTTATCATCTTCAATTATCCAGATAACATATTTGAAAACTTTCACACTGGCCGAGTTGCAGAATTCGAAGAGGCAGTTCATAAGTTTCGCCAAGACTCGAAACATCGAGGACATTAGTTCAATTCCGAGCTCATTCGTTCAGTTTATAAATAGTCGAGTTATATAGCTTTTCGTTTAAATTTTTTCTTTAGTTTTTGGTTTGAATTTGTTTTCAATAAAAAAAGGTTTTGCTTGAATACTTTTAAATTTATTTTCGTGATGGAGACGACGACGATGACGACGGTGCTATTTGGTCAGTTTTTGTTGTTGCCTGTGGTAGCGTTCGTGATGCAGATGTCGTTTTCATCAATCGATCAATTGATCAAGTCAATCCATCAATCAATCAATCAATTAGCTTGTAAAGCGCTATTTTCGCGATGTTCAACAGCGCTCCTCAATGAATTTTGCAAACAGATGGGTCTTGAGATCCGCTCTAAACTTCGTAAGTGATGGAGAAGTAGTCAGAGAAGTAGGTAAAGAGTTCCAGGGAAAAGAGCCAAAAAAGCAAAAGCAGATTAGCAAAGGAGTGTTTAACACGAGTTAAGAAGAAGCGAGAACAAGAAGACGATCGTAACCCCAACTCATTCATCAATTCAGCACACACACACACATACTGACATTCATTCATGTTCAGGTACTTATTCTTTTTTTCAGTCATTCAAAATTTTTCTCAAATTGCATCTCCTACATTCATTTCCCCTTCTCATTCTTAATAACTTTTCAATCACCTATCCCGTAATAACATTACGAAATGTCTCGGAGCCGGCGATAGTGACGTCAGAGTGACGTAACGATGATGTAACATCCGTCTCGGTAGTGGGCAATTTATCGCATCGAACCTGTGGGTACGTACAAATTTTTGTCTGACAGCTTCTTATAATGGATGAACACATTCCATTCTGTCCGAGCGTAAAAAAATTCTTGGAGAAACAAAATTTGTAACGAAATTAAAACAAACGTTCGAAGCGACTAAATGGCAGCAGTGTATTAATCATTAGTCACGTGACGTGACGCCCATGCTTATAAATAAACCCTTCAAAGGTTAAAAATTACTAAAGAATGGTGTACGGTAGATTGGTTATTAAATTTGAAAACACGGACAGGAATATTTTACAAAGAAAAGTCAATCATCCTTCAATTGTTCAATTTTGTCTTTTAAAGTGATGAAAAGTTTTATAATTGAAAACTCCATAACGAGGTATAAGTATTTGAAAATTGCCTCGTCGCGTGTTTGGCTCGTATACAATTATGTATATTTTTAATTTAACTTTTGTTGCAGCTGTTACTTCAACAGCTGCTGCTACTCCTACTACCGCTACTTCTAGCTGCTGCTATAGAAGTATACTACTACAATGCTTCTTTTTTGCATGACATTTTCTTATGTGCATTAGAAAAGTAAAGAAATAAACGAGTCGTTATTTATGAAGGTTATAGACGAGAATTTAAAAAAATATAAACACACACACACACACACACACACACACACACACACACACACACACACACACACACACACACACACACACACACACATGTATATATATATATACACACACACACACACACACATGTATATATATATATATAATGTCTTATTATTGAATATGTGTGTAGTAGCATAAGTTGGAGAAGTGGTAAAAATGAATAAATAATAAATGATGGTACGAAGAGGCAGATTTTGTTTTTCTAATGACATCAATGTAAACATCGAAATCATTAACGACAACAAGAAAAACAACCAAAACAACAAGAAAACAACAAGAGAAACAACCAAAACATTAACACAACAAAGCATAAACAACCAAAACATTAACAAGGCATCATCCAAATCAGCAGCAACATTCATAACATCAAAATAACAACAACAACAACAGAAATGACATTAATTTTAAAATTTGACATTTCGGCCAGTGAACTAGGATTTGATATATTACATATAAAATGATGTCAAGCTGCTACTTATGTTAATTAGTTTTTGCCAAAAATTGTTGGTTTTCAATGGCTTCAAAGTTAAACATCTTAATTTTGATTTAACTTTAAAATTAAATAATGCTGAATAATGTTTAGGAAATTGAATAAAGTTGAATGAAGTTTGAAAAATTATGCTTTGTGGTTAAGTTTTTAAAATATTTTATAAATATTCATTAGTTTTATGAAAATATTTCACAAAACTAGTTAAAAACCGGCCATACACACTGTTTTAATTTTCAAACTTCATTTCAAGGCAATCTAAATTCTACACCCTTTAACGTTTTAACTTAGGTGTCGAATGATTTAAAAAAAAACTTTTCACCAACTTTAACCAGCTTTAAACCAACTTATCACCAACTTATCACCAACTTCTTGCCGACTCATCACTAACTTTTGGCCAAATTTGTTTGTATGTTGTTTAGTTGGGTGACGATGTTACATCTATTGTAGTGTGGTGATGTATTGTGATGTACGAATGGATCATTTACACTTTCCACCAAAGGTGAATCTTACAAAGTAAGCCACTGAAAACACATTTCCATGTACATAATTGAATTTATTGTAAATGAAGAAATATTTTTTATTTGAAAAATTATTTTTTTTTGTAGTATTTTCTTAAAAAATTTTTTTCTATTCAAAGATTGTTATCTGACACGATAATGCTTATTAGTTGTGGTTCTGTGGGTTATTTTCCTGTTTAAAAGGATAATTTTTTTCTTTTATGTTAAAAAACAAAAAAATCCCTAAAAATAAATATAAGAACCTCTTTTTAAAAGTGTTAAAAGTTCTAAGAGAAAAAACATCAAAAGTAGAAAATAAATTAACAAGTGTTCAACACTCACTCACACACAGAGAAACACACACACAAACACAGAGTGAGAGAGACAAAGAAAGAGAGAGACAGAGAGAGAGAGAAGAGAGAGAGAGAGTGAGACACATACACATACTAACAAACATACACTCACTCATTCACGCACGCACACAATTACACACACACATCATATTAAAGTTAAACTAGGAGTACTTCTAAGATAATATGCATAAATGATTTATAAAGAAGCTGTCCATTGAAATAACATTACAAATATATTATTTATTAATATTTACATCGATTTTTTTCTCCATTTTTTCGTGTTTTATAAAAAATAATTTAATTTTTTTAAATTTTGTATCAATAATTTTGAGTTTTTTTTAATTTTTATCATCATAGTAATAAACACCTTCTGGTTTTATAAAAAAATAAATTTATTATAAAAAATTTTTACGTGCTGACTTTATCAAAAGCACAAAAACGCGTACATACACATACAAACACAATTACATCACAAAAACTCATATATATATATATATATATATATATATATATATATATATATATATATATATACATCTATAAACACATATATGTGTATACATAGTATTTAATATATTTAAGAAATAATAAATGTAGATATAAATAGATTGCGTGAAAAACTGGAATGGAGATATGATGACGTCATAGATGTATTAAAATTTGAGAAACTGTGCCAGCCAATGGCGATGACGAGAACGGCAGTGATGATGACGTGAGCGTCGGTCATAGTAGAGCAAAGAAATGAAAATTTTAATTAAAATACGAGTCTAAAATGAATCCGTGTTACTTTATGCGTGGGTCTTCAGTTGTAGTATTTAAAAAAAGAGTATTCATATTATTCATGTCAGGCGGTTTGAAAATAGTTCAAAAAATTATAAATAAGCGTATAATAAAAATATGATAATAAATTAATATTTATATTTATTTTATCAATTTAAAATTGTGACTGTGACGTTAACTATGTAACAACATAACATTCAACAATGGCGTATAATTTAACAACAGTTACTTCATTAGTACGTATACAATACTTTTTTTTATAACCACATATATATATATATATATATATATATATATATATATATATATATATATATATATATATACATACATACACGGTTATGTACATTCTACATATATGTTCATTGTACACATTTTCTATCTTTATCCTTTCATATCTCTCTTTAATCTCTTTTTCTTTCTTTCTCTCTCTCTCTCTCTGCTATTCTTCTGTTTCGTTTATGTTTCTTCCTGTCTCTCTCTCTCTTTCTCTCTCTCTCTATATATATATGTATAGCCATAGCCATATTATAGCCATAGTTTGAGTGAATCAATTAATTTTACGCCATCTGATTTTGCTTCTTTTTTCAAGGATAAGATTAAGAGGGTGATGGACTTAACAGCTTCCTCGATTGCACCAGTCTTTTCTCATTGTAGGTTTCGGTCTGATGAGTTGTTCTCTGCGTTTTCTTTGTGCTCGGGCGACGAAATTAAAAAAATTGTTTTAGGTTTTCCAAAAAAATCCTTTTCAAATGATTTTATTCCGACTCAAGTTTTTAAATCATATGTCAACTTGTTTATTCCATTCTTGACATTTTTTGTTAAGTTGTGCTTAAGAACTGGTTGTTTTCCTAATCCTCTGAAACACGCTGTTGTAACTCCTATATTAAAAAAGTCATCCCTTGATAAAACTGATATTTCTAATTTCCGTCCAATATTCAATCTGTTGTTTTTGTCTAAGTTTCTTGAACGTATTGTTTTGGGGCAATTCTTAAGTCATCTGAATAGACATAATTTGATGCCTGTTCACCAATCGGGCTATAGGCAGAACCATTCAACTGAGACGGTTTTAATTGATGTTACGTCTACATTATTTGCAGCTATGGATCAACACAAAGTTTCATTGTTGGCTTTATTGGACATGAGTGCTGCCTTTGATTGCGTTGATCACACCTTGTTGATTGATAAATTGAAATACTTTTTTGGTGTCTCTCATGTAGTAACCTCATGGTTTGAATCATACTTGATTGGAAGGACTCAGCAAGTTTTCTTTAACAACGGGTTGTCAGATGTTGAGATAGTCACGTCTGGAGTTCCTCAGGGCTCAGTCCTTGGGCCTTTGTTGTTTTTACTTTATACAGCTGATATGTTCCCAATTATTGAGGAATTTAATTTCAAGTATCATGCGTTTGCTGATGATGTGCAAATAATTGTTCCGATTGCATGTAATACAACGTTTGAAGATGAAGTTGATAGATTTGTATGTTGCATCGAAAAACTCAATGGGTGGATGATAGATAACAGATTGAAGAAGAATGAAGGTAAAACTTAACTACTTTTGATTGGTACCTGGCAACAGCTGGAAAAAATTGATGTTGAGTCCATCAAGATATCTGGGTCGGATGTTAATTTTTGTTCCTCCGTTGGTGACTTGGGGATCGTATTGGATCAAAATATGTCAATGAATTTTCATGCCAAAAAGCTTAGTAAGGAGTGCTCATTTCAGCTTAGAAGGCTTAATCAAGTTAAAAACTCATTAGATAATGACACATTGAAATGTTTGGTTCATGCATTTGTTCATTCAAAGTTGGACTACTGTAACAGTGTTTTCTATGGAGTATCAAACAGTACATTGTCTTCTCTACAGTCAATTCAGAACAGAGCGGCCAGGATTGTCAGTGGCCGTTTGAAGTTTGATCACATTAGTCAAACGTTGTTGGATCTTCATTGGCTTAATGTTAGGAAAAGAATCTTATACAAAATTTCCATCATGGTGTTCAAATGCCTGAATGGTCTCAGTCCAAGTTACCTGTCTGAAATGATAATACGTAGAGTTAGATCTCATCCGTCAATCAAGTTGCGTTTAGATGATCAAGATCTATTGATGGTGCCGAAAACAAAGTTGGCTGTTGCTGATAGAAGTTTTGCAGTTGCTGGTCCTTCGATCTGGAATAATTTGCCTTATCACCTGCGTCGGCCGGGATTGACTCTTCGACAGTTTCGCAAGGAATTGAAAACTCGTATCTTCTTGGATTGATTCGCACAAATCATGGAGCGCCTTTGGGTGACTATAAAAGGCGCTCTACAAGTTCTCTAATAATAATAATAATAATAATAATAATAATAATAATAATAATAATAATAATAATAATAATAATAATATGTATGTGTGTGTGTGTGTGTTTGTAAGTCTATGAGTCTATGAATATAATATACTTTTGTTAATTTAATAATATAAATTAAAAAAAGTAACAAAACACAAAACCGAAACGGACGAGACGAGATAGTGCAAGAGTACTGACAGTACCAAAACATTAAATGTCAGAATAAATTATGAAGAGTGATTAATTCACTAATCATTTTAGCTGTCTTCATCATCAGTCTTTATTATCATCACTGTCCATTTCATCATCTCCTCATATCACTTCATCATCCTCTGTATTGTTAACAGTTTTTTGTGCAATGCAAGGATTATCTATTCACATTTGTGTCAACCTCCTATCATGTTTGCACGTTGTGTAACTTGCTTTGTTGTTGTTGTTGCTGAATGTAAGTAATGTGTTTTGTTGTTGATGTTGTTGTTGAAGCTGTCGTTGGTTTCGTTATTGTTGTAACTGTTGTTATTGTTGATTCTGACGTTGTAACTGTTGTTGTTGTTGCTGCTGCTGTCGCTGTTGTTGTGTTAGTAGTTGCTGTCGCTGATGTTGTTGCTGTAAGTTGATGCAATGACACTGAATGGCTGTGGTAACGTTATTGGCTCCTGCTGATACATTTCTGAAATATTCAGACCTGGAGGCACCTGAGAAGATATGAATGTCATTCACGTTTCGCCCTCTACTTACGACAGCAACTTGAGAACGATTACTCACGAAATCAAACAGCATTAATCCGTGTCGGAAGTTACGGCTTGTAATTATGTAGACGACAAAATTGACTGACGAGTTGACGAGCGACATGAAGTCTGCGAACGCAGTGTAGTAGTAGATCCAGTGACCACACAATCGCTCTTCCTTGCCAGACCAGGTGAGGATCACGTGGTCGATGAACGTCGGCGTCTGGCATACGATGAAGACGCACATGACAGCTACCAGGACTAAAGAGACGTCTTGCTGGCACCAGCCCTGTTGTTGCGTTGTCGCATTTTTTTGCGTTGAGTGCCAGTGACAGTAAATTTAACAAAAATTTAAACAAAATTACAAAAATGAATGTTCAGCTGAATTAAAATTTTATTTCAAAACAAGAAATATCATAGCCGTCAAATTCAACTCACCTTGCCCATTTCAATTCTTCTCCGCTGTCTCCTTTTGAGGGCGCCAATCAAGCAGACGTTGAAGTAGGCGATCATCAGCAACGGACCTCCATGCACGAGAACGAAATACATGATGTTGGAGTAGAGCAGTCTGTACAGACGATTATTGGAGAGGGCCGTCATGTCGAAGGCCTTCCTCGGCGTCGTATCCTCCAAACTGGAGCACACGTAAACAGGAGCGTATTCGAAGAAACGAGGAATGTTGTAGACCAGGGCGAATATGGCGATCATTACCATGCGATTCCTGGCTTGTGGTAAGGTGTAGGGACCTCGGAACATCTTCTTGAAACGATTGGTCACTTCGTTGCTGGTCATGCTTGGCTTGCAGACCGTGAAGTAGCGGTGCATGGAGACCAAGACTGTCACGTATATTGTCGCCGTGTAGGGAACCTGAGAGGAAAGTGTTTTGATCAGTTGTTGGAATTCTAGAAAATACAGTACATTTTTTAAAAGAAAACTTCTTCCTTTATATATATATTTTTTATTAATTTTTACTACAGAAATAGAGAAATAATGTTGTTTTATCAAAATTAGACGCAAAAAATGAATAAAATGATTACGAAACCTGATAAACTCCCCAAAGAATAGGGACGAGATCAAGGAAAAGAGCAAAAAAGCCAGCGGTTTTGTCAAGGTAATGACAGGCGGCTGGAAAAACAAAAAGTGGGAGTGCAGCCAAAAGAACCAAGATGTCGGTAACCGCCAAACTCCTTAGCAAAAAAGATGTCACCGATTTACTTTTTCGATCCCTGGACAGGACAGCGAAGGAAACCGCATTACCGACGAGACCGAGCAGAGAGAAGGAACCCATGGAAATTGTGAATATGGCGAAATCGTATAATAAACATTGGTCGGTCAGTTGGTATGGATCGCCGTCTGCAATTCGTACGTTGTTCGTGTTGCAGACTGTCGCAAGAGTTACATTTGTTCTGTGTAGTTGGTGATAGTAGATATTCGTTGTGTTGATAAATTTGTCGGTTACACTATCGTAATCGATTTTGTCGATAACATGGTCGGATTTGAAGTTGTTGGGCGTATGGTAAGCGGTGTTGATTGGCTGTTGATCGCTGAGCAGCATATTTTAAGTTTTATTCATAAATGCGTTACACATTTAATATGATATCTCATAGACTAATCTTTATACTTCTGTGATGGGGATGTTTGTTGACTTTTTAAAGAATATTCTCAAAATTTTTTTGTCTATTTTGATGATTTCATTTAGTTTTTGTTATCTTCAAGTCTTATCTGCAGTATTGTAGAATGAGTTTTACGTTTTGAAATATTGAGAATAGCCATTTAAGAGGATTGAGAGATAACTTCTCGTTTCAACATTTAAATCAGCATTTTTTTTACATAAAATAAAACCCTATACAAAATTAATTCTACAAAAATTTTTTACTGCAATTTAACGCAATTATTTCAATTAAAATTATTATTATGAAATAGAATTTTAATAAAAAAGATTTAAATTGAACAAAAATGTGCGTTGTCTTCCTTCAAGACTGGCTTCACAAAATGATGAACGTCGGAATTAAAGGTTTTTTGCTTTTAAGGCTTATCAAATTAATGGTGCCTGTCATTGAAAAAGATTAAAAAAAATTTTATTTTGCATTTGAAATCTACTAGCCTAATATATTTTTATTTATTTGTAATGAAAGCTACAATTTTTTTAACGAAATCCTAATTTACGAATCTCACATACTTGAAGTTTTATTTGAAAAAAATAAATTTTTTTGTTTCAATTTAGAAATTTTAAAATTTAATACTTATTTTACTCTCTCAGTAAAGAAAATTCTTAGAAAAATTTTATTTTACGCATCTAGTTTTCATAAACAAAGCGCAACTTTTTTTCTATTGTGGCTCATTTAACAGGAACAATTTTTTCCGTCAAAACGAAAATATGAAATTTATTGCTAGACTCAAACTTTCATTCACGAATCCAAAATTATTTCGTCACCATCACTTTTGTCCAGTGGGAGGTAACAGAAATTACGATAACAACTTGCGTTGTAACAATTACAGCGATTACGACAAAACTTAAAAAAAAAATTAAAATGATAAAAATGACGATGCTGAAAACGTTGATGATGAGGAGGAGGATGATAAAATAACGAAACTGCTGATGATATAGCCGGTGCAATTTTAATATACCTAATCCATTTTAATTAATATTCCATCAGCGTGGCGTTTGAGTTCACGCATTATCGAAATAGACATAGATACATTTACGATTTTCTAACTATTGTTCAAACTTTTCTGATTTTTTTTTTGGAAAAAATTGTTACCAGTCAATGATGATGAAGTAAATTGATAAAAAAAAGTATTTCAAGTGCAATATTATATCTAGCAACCGTCACAAACCAAATTATAGCTACTCCCAAGACTTTCACCAAATATGGAGTATTAAATTAGCCGTGGTAACATCCATGTCATGTGAAGCGCTATATAATTAGATGAACAGGAAAAAGAGCGTCTCATGACGTCACGTCAAAATGTTCTACACGACTGACATGAAACTGAAGAAAGATGGCCTCCGAACTAAATAATTATGAGCGAGAGATTGTTGGGTATAAAAATCAAAAATAATATGAGACCATGTGTACATTTGACCAAACTCATCTCGTACAAGAAATGCGCATACGAAAAATAATGATGAAAATGATA